ACGCCACCACACACACACACATAGATAGATAGATAGAGAGAGAGCGAGAGAGAGAGAAGCACAACAGGAGCACCGTTAAGCCGAAGTCGTGCGGATGGAGGAGATACAGGCTGGGCTATGCCTGTGTAAACGGCACTTCCCACAAAAAGTGCACCCACACCAGAGCACTGACGCATCTTTGAGAAAATTTCGCGATCGTCGTAAATCAACAAGAGACACCCAATTTAGGTTATTTGTTAGGTTAACTAAGTGGAATAGGCTACGTAAAAGACAAATTAAATGAAAACTAAACTTTATGTTCTTCAAGGAAAAGGTGAAGGAAAAAGGAGCCGAAAGCAATGGATTTACGGGAGGTCACAGCAGAAATGATCAACTTTCGTCAAAAGTGTCCAACAGCTACTTGCATTCCATCAATCTAAAGAGGAAACAGGCCCAAAAATAAGTGCCTTAACACAATCCGGGAATGTCGGGAACAAAAAAGCAGCTATTGATAGGTGTCCTAGCAGGAAGAGATGATGAAGAGGTTCAAGCCGCTTATCACAAAACTAATCAGTCATAAATTATGCCCAGTTAAATTTTTCAGGGGACAACTTGTCACCGCACAAAGTAACTGAAAACAAGGGGAAAAGCGTGAGACAACTTGCATAGTGGTAAAAAATGAGGAAATGGAAGCAGCGATAGCACTCACATTGACTGTTTTTTCAGCATTTCGGGTAGAAGAGAATAGGTGGCGTAGACGTGATCAAAGCCTGGAGTCAAAACGGAGTTCATGAGATCCACCTCTGTAAAACCGAGACGAAGCATGTGCTCAACGTAAATCTCATTTAGGTGGATCTGAGAGGGCTCTGCGTACGGCGTCATCACCGAATCATAGCCCGTGTTGAGCCATCGGTCATTCATTATTGCCTGACAGAGACAAAGTTCAAAAATGCTGTACTTCCGATCTTATTTATGCAATTCTAAGTGTACCGAGATCGAATAAAATAGAGTCGGTCCCGCACTTACGGGTACCACGGAAGTATGTAAATTGGCCAGTCTACAGTTTACTAAATTCAGGTAAACAAGGTCTGTTTTTCTGTTTTCTAGATTAAGTTCTGTGTGTGTGTGTGTGAAAAACCGAAAAATTGGCACCTTGGAGCGAGACAGAGGGAGAGAGGGTGAAGAGAAGGTGTAACAAACAGGAGCCCTCTTACCCGCAAGGAGTAACGATCACGTGGATCCAGAACGAGCATCTTCTTCAATAGAGCCAGCAAATCGTTAGAGACTTCGCCTCTACCGAGGTTGTAGCGCACAGTGAGGATTTTCGTCCGCAGCTCCCGCAAATCTGTCGCATCGAAGGGCAAATGACCCACAACCAGAGTAAAGAGAAGCACTCCCATCGACCAAACATCAACTCCCGGACCGTGGTAACGAATGCCCTTTCGAAAATTACATAAAATAGTCGGAATGGGTAAATGGGTGATAAAATACCATCTGGAACGGTGCCACATACCAGGAATAGTTCGGGGGCAGCGTATGGAGGACTGCCACAGAAGGTAGACAGTTTTTGGTCAGGAGTGAAGATATTAGCCAAACCGAAATCAGCGACTTTAACATTCAGCTGTGAGTCGAGAAGAATATTTTCGGCCTTAAGATCTCGATGAACAATATTTCTAGAGTGGCAGTAGTCAATGGCAGAGACAAGCTGTCGAAACTTGCTCCTGGCCTCCTTCTCGTGCATCTTACCGTGAGCTACGAGGTAATCGAATATCTCACCTACGCAAAGTAGGAATTCACAGCTATGCTGACATACCACCGTTGGCGTATTCCTGCACCAGACAAATTACTTCATCATTCTCTATAATTTCCAGCAACCGAACTGAAATGAAACATGAGGAAGAAAACTAGCATTACCAATGTTTGGATGATTAAGTTTTTGGAGAATACTGACTTCCCTCCGCAGCTAAACGCATTATATGTAAGAAAAAGGGAAAGTGACGTACACGATCGTTGGCGGCCCAATCTAAGCCCTTCTTATTTATTATTTTGATTGCAACCTAAAACAATCGCTTAGTTACTATACTAGTACCTCAACTCCTGTTGCCATGTGTATGGCGAGCTTGACTTTGGCAAAATTTCCCTTACCGATGGTGCGCACCAATTTGTACTTTCCGACGTTACTTTTCGTGGGTCGGGATACCGGAAGACCAGAAGTGGGCGGTGAGGCTTCATGACCTTCTCGAACGTTATTTTTTGGTTGTAAAGAATTTAATGTTTTGTCTTCTTTTGACGAATGAGGTGACAGAGTCCTTCCTTTTGGCGTTTTGCCACCGCTTTCTGACGAGTTGACTTCCTCTCTGGGGGAAGATTTCTTGGTAGACTGGCCGGTATTCTCCTGAACAGTTGCTTCCATTTTAGGATGCACGCACCGGGATCGCAAGGTGACTTAAATGGGGTTGAAGCAATTCCCTTTCGGTTGTTTCAAGGTGAACATTTTAATTGGCGATCGTAGTGTGTTCAAAAAGCGCGCTTCCCAAGGCCGGTGGTTGCTGCAGCATAAGCGAAACAGTAAAAATACCTCAAATAATTCATCCTACTAAAGCTTGGTTTCAAAAACCACTTTTTTTAGCCTGCCATGTTACTTTGTTTATTATATGCACAAAACGAAACGACGGAAGTAAACTAGTAAATCTTTACTCAAGGAATCAACCAGAGTTAAATACAGCCTTAGTTTGTTAAAGGTGCCTTGGTACTAAAGCAACTCAATATAATTACTTAAACATATATAACAGCTGCCAATCAATGTTTCGACCCGGTCTTTTTAGCTGCAAGTACCTCCCCATTCATCGGATTCCGAATTTCTCATCTGTTTATTAGCATCACAAACAGCATGGCATTGATATTGTTGTTCGGGACAGTAAACCAAGCGATGATGAAAATTTATACCCTGTGTTTTTTTAATTTTATTGCTTATTACCTTATTTATAACATTTTTTGATTTTCAGCAGGCATCTGTTTTGCTGTTCCTTTTCATTGGTAAAAGACCGGCCTTTAACGATCAATTTCCTTCCCTGTAAACTTAAAAACTAGCTTTTCTATACAATTATTTAATTAAGACATATTTCGTCTGGCCTAACTGTTCATCTATTACTCTGTTTTACTCCTGTTTGAGCTCTTGCACACCGTAAATTTTTCAAATAACATCCGGTTCATATCATGAGATAAATCGCATTTAACTTAATAGCTTCCTTTCTTTTGTCGCATATAGCGACCTTATCGAATTCTAGGTACCAGAACCAGTCGGTCTTTTAAACACGATGCAACGTATTTTCTTTTCCCCAAATGGAAATTTTCTTGAGGCTTATCGTGACAGCTGCAGAGGACATTCACACTCAGAGGTATCTTTAGCTTTCACAGCAGTCAGTCACCGAAGTCAATGAAATCGACCTTTTTTATTTATCAGTCGCTTTCCTTTTGTCGGGTTTCGGCATCGTGGTTTGATTAGGCCTAGATTTAAGTAGAACGGAGAGTAGGGTATATTATTTTCTGGAAATAATAACTTCTGGTATATATGAACAGAGTTAAGCATACACTCATTGTAAATTTTTCAATTCTTCTTATGTATAAACAAATATTTCTCATTTTCTACTTTCTTCGTGCAAAAAGCAGGATTAAATAATAAATCATTGATCTATTTCAGGATTTTACTTAATCGGATATTAGAATTTGGTGGCTTGGAGTTTAATCTGAGTAGTTAGATTCATACATGTATTTACATGCTGACAACACGATAACGCCTCGTCAAACGCCGACGGTAGAGATGAAAATAAAGAGGAAAACGGGGGTGGAAATGGAGGGCTGGGAAGGTAGGAAGGAATGGGAATAACTTCTGTCACACTCTGTGCACCTGACTTGGCTCTAAAATATGCTGGTGCGGTACGAGGCAGAATATCCAGTCTGTGGGATGTAGCGGTAGAGTGGGCGGTGGATTGGTAATCACGAAGCGTCGATGACAGACCGGACTGCCGTCACCCAGGTCACACCACCGCAGAAGCCGGTAGATGCCAATAATCAGGATGCCATATTCTCTCAGTGCGGCAAGGAACAGCTTTTCAAAGGGTGTTCCTTGAACCGCGAATTTCCCTAAAGTATTCCCAGTCAACGTAAGCTGTGCCAGTCGACATCGTTCCCTACACGCCCTACTTGTTGACGCTGCACTTCCACCACGCATTCCTGCACCTTCAGCAAGAATCTTCTCCAACAGAGGTGTAGATCCACCTGTCACCAACGATCGAATAAGCGTCAGTGCTGATTCGTTGAAGTAGGCCGTGCTCATAAGAGAATCCAGGACACTGATAGTGAAAGCTGTTCCACAGGCGAAGGGTTGAGTCATGAATAATTCCCCTCCTTCATCGTCGTCTTCTTGATCAAGGAACTGAACATTCATGTCAAAAGCGAGTTCCGTTGCCATGGGGATTGTGGCACCGTTGCGTGAGATGAATCGTGGCGGTCGGTAGAAGACAGCTGGAGTGTCCGGATCAACGGAATGCGTTGACCCACTCTGATGGTGGCTCTTGTTCAAAATCAAGTTTTGCACTCTATTCCGTGATGGCCGTTTGAAGGAGCTGACGTTATCGTCTCGTCGAAGCGTCATATGCTTTATTGTCGTACAGGAGGATTCCGTGTAGGTGGTATCCACATCTGAAAAATCCATTGCCTTTACATTAAGTGAGCATAGGATTGCCTCCTTGTCAGCCAACGTGAGATCTTCAATTGTGTTATCACTTTTTGAAGAAAGGATGACACACATGGAGGCTAGATTCACGTTTACTGATCGCAGATTTGCTTTACTTAAAGGAGATCCCGGAAGAACCCATATTCCAGGAAAATTTGCCAATGTTTTCCACTCTCTTTTGATGTAGTCCAAGTTTCCCACCAGAACGACCGTTTTTAAGTCGTGAAGGTGAAGGTTACTGGCCCGAAGAGGCATTATAAAACTCCTCAGTCCTATAATAGGACTACGATAGTCGGCAAAGATGCAGACAACTATGTGATCGGTAAAGTTCTTCGTCGTTGCCGGTTGCTCATCGTCTAGAAGGCAGGTTTTGATGTTCCTCTCTGGACACCAGTGAAACATTCCTGTGGCATCGAATTGACAAGATGTATTTGCACTCTGATCCCCTGGTGGCTTGTGGCCATCGACGCTAGCACCGCCAAGGTGCTGGAAAGTGCCTCCGTGCCAACTCAGGTGGTTGCTAATACCAGTACCGCCTCCTCTGGCCAGCCAGGCAAGATCCAAGTGACTGGATGATGCAGACGTGCTGACAATGAGCGGTGAGAGACAGTTCGTGGCAGTTCCAACAGCCACGGGTAAGGTGGGCTCAATTACACTCCTGGAATCCAGCAGACGACTGAAAATTGACTTAGCACGATTCATTTGACTCGACTTCACACAGGGGCACAACTTCACTTGGTGCATTTCCACGTTGGAGTGACAGCGTTTACAGTAAAGTGCTGCCCGTTTAGCCTCTTCCGCCGACTGAGCGATGAAAAAGCCTTGAGTATTGGCGGTTATTTTGGTTGAACTCTGAAAGCATTCACACAAAGACGTATTCACATATGTAAGCAAATTTTTTCAAGATGGAAGGCACCGTTTTTACTTATTTTCTATCGAGAATGGCTTTTGTTTGGTCATTTGCAACATGGTAGCCTGACTTGATATTGCTGGTGGGAATGGATTGGAGAAAAAGGCATTTTTGGCCTTTCTCTCTGTTACATGACGGCCATTGATCCTCTTTCTCAGAAAAAAAACCTTTACCGGGTTAAAGGGGCACAGAAGAAAATGCTTCTTAAAGGTTAATCGCAGCAAGGCCTAATCGGATGCTGATGGTTAATACCTTACGTCAACCTCAACCGAGAAAAAAATAGCACACATTAAATGGTATAATGCTAAGACGATCGGTTCGATCATTTCTGCCTCGACAAGAAGGACAGCAGCAGCAAAGATTTTTCCATCAACAGCAGGCGACAGTGGTAAGAAACATGGCTTGAACGTACGTGGAGGAAAACGAATGTATTTTACAAACAGGTAAAAGAAAAACTGACGGCCATTTTATCCAAACAAGCAAGGCATATTTTTTTCCCCAAGTTGGGAATTTTGGGACATAGTAGAACAATTAATAAGTAACTTTTGGCATTATGGCAGTGGGTTCATCGACTGCAAAGACATTTTAAATTGATGTCAAGCTTTGTTTTTTGACAATTTCTTACAACATCTAAACACTCTCAACTATGTTGAATAAATACATAATCACTGGGTAACAGTGACTTTATGAGGAGTTGGCCAATTGACAGCTGATATTTGCCTTGCATTTAGTGGCTTTTTGACAATGCAGACGTTAATAAATCTTCCCAGTTCGTTAACCCTCAAAAATATTACATCCCCAAACCTGTGCCTAATCCCCCCCCCCATAGCAGGGCCAGGAGCCAAATTGAAAAGAGGTATCACCTTACATTCCATCTTAAACAATTAGTAAATGCTTAATAATTAATTTGACATTGGTTTTCCTCAGTACGACCCCCGAATTATTGATTTATTGGCGTGATGACGGACACACCTCTACCAGTTATCGACTTTTGGAGGGCAGGTGAAACGTTTGCTACAATCGACTAACCCTGAAAAATCAATATGGCAATTTTTTTCCTTCACCATTAAAGGAAATACTTCTGAAGGAACCTACATTGGGATTGATGACAATGTGGGTCTCTAAACTGCCTTTGCATTGCACAGCAATCAGCAGAAGCCGCAGTCTACTGAAACAGAGTTCAGCGGCAGCAGCAAAAGTCATTTTTTCAAAGGACGGAGAAAACTGTTCGGTGTACATTTCCATTCCTGCGCCCTCCATGTAGTCGTTGAGCCAATTCACGCCTTGACTCTCCGATTTGCGATATGTGCGCATTGTGAAGAGATTGGCAAGGAGGGTGGAAAATCCCGGGGCTAGACAATTCTGCGCCAGGAAGCCCAATTTTAACTCCGCCACACAGATGGCATCATCACCACGGCGCCAATCCCAGTTTGGAATGTTCAAGAGGTAGGTCTTGTTGTGGTACTGCATCAACTGAACTATCACCTGCAAAGGTAATGATGCCATTTGAACCCCACGCACAAGGAAATTGATGAACGAGTCATTCACCAACGATCATTCAACTTTTACCCAAAATAGATCATGGTTGACAGGTGATCATGGCGAACAGTATCTGGGTTAGGGAGGATGTCATCAACTTTAAGGTCACAAACTTTTTATCTCCAGAAGCCGGAGAGTGGGTGGGAAGTAACAAGAAGAGATTTAAATTGAAGAAGTTGGAGAAGTCCGCCTCAAACCGGAAGATTAGGCATCCTTTTCATAGTGATAATCTGCCTCATCAACATAATAAAGAGTTTTAAAGCAATGACAAGTGACAAAGAAATGAAGTCTTAAAGGACCGAGATACCTCGGTGGATGAAAATTGGTGAAATGTGCCTATCAAAAAATTATCCTACACCCCGAAATCAGCATATCTGTAGTTAATCAATGGAAGATATGACATGATTTCTGTCACTGCGAACGTTAACGAAACAGGTATATATAGACATACCTCGGTTGTCATAGATTCACGTTTACATCGATCACAACCGCCGTTCGGGTCGGACCGGGACTTTTTGTCATAAAAGGAAAGGAAGGCAATGTACCACTAGTAGTAAATACGTTCTTGTACCACAGTCAGTAGAAGACGCACTTTTCTTGTTCCCCTTCAGACATCATTAATCGGGTTGTGGTGGGAAAATGAGGTTGCAATGAAGGTTGGCTTAATTCGCCTACGGTACGGTGATGGGGCATTCAGACATACTGTAGGACGCCCTAAGTGCTGCTGTACTTTTATAAGACCTTCCCAGCTTATGACACCCACTCCTGTTAAAGGAACATTCTGTGTGTGAAATTCCTGATCCTAGACGCCTGGTTTACAATTTCTGCCACAATTTCGCCACAATCCCAAGAGCACCCAGTTGGCTAACTGAAGGATTGTACTGATCGACTATTTCGAAGAGAAAATGAAGTTGTTGTAATTCCTTTGATAAACTACTAAGTGTCTTTTAACCTTAACGTCTTGGATACACTCTCCTGCCTTAGGGATCGTCTCAAGATCTACCCATTAATTTTCCTTTTTTTGCTACCAGGAATTGAGGGGGGCCTGCACACAGCACCCCACTGGATGGGCCAATTATGACAATCTCAAAGGAGGCCATAAAATGCTCCATCGCCTTAATGACGCGCTGACAACCATTTGACTAACAATCTGACGATTTCCCTCACTTTGCTGATGGAAATAAACTCTGTGAATTTGTCTTCCTCAATTTTCAAGGCATAATTTTAACAATTTCATTGACTGGTAGGGTTCAAATGACAGGCAGTTTCCATGCTACGCCTGTAATGAAAAAGACTGGAATTAGGGCAGTCAAATGACTACAAAAATTTCTTTAAGATATGCTAATTTTTGGTGTTTTTTATCACTTTCCAGGGGGACAGCCTTAGCGGAGGGTTACAATTTTTATGGAGCTTTTTGACTCTAGGAGTTAAGAGGAAACATTTTTGTCTTTAAAATTTGTGATTGCCCCGCTTTAATCATGTGACAATCACTTGAACCGTGGAGAAAATATCACCGGAGAAATACGAAGGAGGAGGATGTGGATTAGGCAGTATGTCTCTCTACTTTGAAAGCATGCAATCTAACATTCTCCAACTGGAAGCAGACTTTACTCCAAATGATTTACTGCACTAGACTGTTTCACAAAGGCGGGTGTTCCTACCCAACATTCCATTGGTATTAGGCAGATAGATGTCAGCGAGAAATGTTTGGCTCCCAGAAAGTGAATAGAGGAACACACAAACACACACAAGAACATGAGGTATGGTTTTCTGACTATGAAGGGTACCGTATCAATAGACTGACGCCTGTCTGTGTTTTTTAATTCAACAACCTCTTCCAATTATGTGAAATCATTGCAACGTGGTCTTTAAAATCTATAATAAATTCTCCCAAAAATTTTCTGTTGCAAAGGTTTTTGAATACCTCATATTGGTTGATCGGTAGGTTGATAGATAGATATGTAGTTGGATAGGCGGATGGATGGATGGATCCGGGATAGATGGATCCGGGATGGATGGATGGATGAATGGATGGATCCGAGATGGATGGATGGCTCCGAGATGGATGGATGGATCCGAGATGGATGGATGGATCCGAGATGGATGGATGGATCCGAGATGGATGGATGGATCGAGATGGATGGATGG